TCCTTCCTTCCTTCCTTCCTTCCTTCCTTCCTTCCTTCCTTCCTTCCTTCCTTCCTTCCTTCTCTCTGTCCTACCTCACTCCCTTGTGTTCTTCCTGTTCTTGCTATCAGTGGTTCCTATATTCATTTTATATTTCGTTCATTTTATTATTTGATTTTATTTGTTTTTTCTGTTTTTCACTCAATAGAAAGTATATGTGTGAAATGATGCAGTTTTTGAAGGTATAATTTCTCTTTTACTTCTTCATTTAGTCTCTTAGGAGTAATTTTTATCTTTTTTTTCTTTTCCTTTAATGTCTTCTTCCTACCTTCCCTGTCCTTCCTTTCTTGTGTCCTTATGTTCTCAGAATCTGTGTTTCCTTCCTTGAATCCTCATTTCCCTCCTTTGTTCTTACTTCATTTCTTTCTGTGTTTCCTAACTTGTCTTATGGGTTACGTCCTTTCTTCTGTCCTATCTGTTTTCCTTCATTCCTTGCCTCCTTTGGGTTGATCTTAAGTAAAAACCCTTTGGCAACAATTTTTTACATAATTCACAAAGTCAGAAACTTATCTTGTGTTCGCTAAATGACAAACTACATCTGGAGTCAGTTTAGGCTTTCAGCTCAGATACTGAATTATCAATGAAATTCCATCAAGAAGCTTCATTCTGCAAAATAAATCGAGTTATAAGAAATAACAAAACAAACAAATAAAATAAACAATATCTAGCCAAGGGGATAAACTATAAGTTTGCCACATTTGGAGAGAAAATATTTCACGTTTATAAGAATTAATGCCAGCCTTGCTCTCTGTAATGTGAGTCCGATATTGCTACGAATGCTAGGAGTCATCTGCATATAAATTGTAAAAAAATTAATCCAGTCACTCTGCTTTACATCCAGAATACAAAACCACATATCATACTTTTTATGATCTTTCCTTTATGCCCATAATTAGGATTTGGCTTAATGAACAGCTCAACTAATGAATGATTCCTGGTTGCCATGGCAAGTTACACACAGATACACCATGTAGCAATATATACTGACATAATAACAAAGATGGTTGTAACAGATATTTGTAACCTCGTGTTTCTAACAGTGTTGCTGAGAAGGAAACAGATTTACACCTAATAGAATCAACTGATATTGAAAAACAAAGTGTAAACTCATCCAGACGTGAAGCTACTAAAAGCTATTAGCATTACGTGAAAAAAAAATTAAAAGATGTTTTTGAAATACTGTATGAAATTTTTAGATTGCCCAGTTTTTTAAACCACTCGCAAGTTAAAGTTTCTACAAAACTAAGAGTCTAATGGATCATGTTTAAAAAGCTTGGATGACGTAAATTTACTAATAAAAGTTACATTTCTTGGCAGTGTGTCTGAAAACTGGATCTTTAACAAGTTGCATCATTTGATTTCAGGTCAAGGAGTTAAATAGTCAGCGCTG